GAATTTAAGCAAGTATTCTTGTTGTTATGAAGAATAATAAAAAGCAATTTATTTATTTAAACAATTATAAAAAAATAATTTAAACACTTTTTCAAAGACATTTTCTGACTTAACCATTAACTGCTTCATCTGCTCTATGATATAGAATCACAGAGAACCAAAAACTTGACTGCTAGTTGATGCAAGATTTGAAGTCATCGCTTGTGTTGTTTTCTGAATATTAGTGAGAATATTAGTTCTTCAAATCTGAAAGGAATGAGACTACCTCTCCCCTAATTTTGGATTTTCTTTTCTGATGCAGGTGTTTATCAGTTAAGTTACCTGCTCATTGCTCACACTGAGTGTCTGGAATCTGTGCTTAGCTCTGGTGCTTGGCTGCAGTCTACCATCAATGCAGACCCCTGGGAGGGCGCAGTAAGCGCTTACGTAGTGGGGTTCCTGCAACTCATCTGGCAGAGCTGGCTCTTAGCTTTGGCCCAGCCCATCTGCTGTCTTCACAGGCATATAGGGTTGGAAGCTGCTGATGGACTCTGTGTGTGTGTGTGTGTGTAAGCTCCTATTACAGCGCAGTAGGTAAAGCCGCTGCCTGTTACGCTGGCATCCCATACGGGCATGAGTTTCAGTCCCGGCTGCTCCACTTTGGATCTCTGTCATTACATGGGAGACCCAAGTGAATCTCCTGCCTTCTGGCTTCAGTCTGGCTCAACTCAGGCCGTTGTAGCCCTTTGGGTAATGAACCCATGACAGAGGATCTCTTTCTTCTGCTCTGTCTCTCACTCTCTCGATGTAACTCTTTCAAATAAATTCAAATATATAAAGTCTATTTGAAAGGCAGTTCGAGTGGGTGGGAATGAAAAAGTGAGGGAGTGTAAGAGAGAGAAAACAGAGATCTTCCACCGGCTGGTTCAGGTTCCAAATGGCCACAATGGTTGGAGCCAGTCCATGCTGAAGGTAAGATCTGGGAACTCCATCCGGGTTCCCACATAGGTGACAGGGGCCCAATGATAAGGAGTACCTTCTATTTATTTTCTAGATGCATTAGCATGAAGCTGCATTAGAAGTGGGTCATCAAACTGCTTCCCACGTGGGTAGCTGGTATTGCAGCTGGCATCTTAGTACACAATCAGCCCCAAACGTTTTCTCCCTCTCTGCTATCTTCTCATCCTAGAAAATACATTAAAAGCCCTGTAAAATCTTTCAAGTTACTTAACCTTTCTAAAAATTGATTTATTCATCCATTTTCCTCTGGTTTATAATAATCATCTTTTGTGCTGTGCTCAAATTAAATGAGAAATATATACAAGACACCTAAGTCAGTGCCTTCTATTGCTATTAATACTGGGTTTTATGTATTCATGAACGCTTATATATTCATGAACATTTTATTACGTTTTAGCTTTGTTTCAGGCAAAATGTCAAATTTTAACATTTGATATCTCTTACAGTTTCACTGTTATTGACCTTTCACTAGATATTTATAAATAAATGATAAACACACAGAAAAATGAGTTTCTTTTTGTAATTTGCGAAAGAGAAAGAGGCAAAGAGACAGAGAGAATGCTCCCATTTGCGGGTTAGTCCACACACCTGAGGCATGGGGTGGGTCCCGCCATGGCCCTTCATCCTGCGTTCCCCTGGGGGTGGCAAGGCTACAACCATGGGAGGAGTCACTTTTTCCCTCCCCAGGTGTGTATTACCAAGACGCTGAAATTGGGAGCTAGAACTTGGACTCAGACCCAGGTACCGGGATTTGGGCTGCAGGCAACTTTCTTTGCCTGTTCAAATGTTCATCCCAGAAAATGCATTTTTAAATGATCCTGTTAACCAGACTAAGTAGATACCCTTAAAATACTGAGTCAGCCAACAAAACATAGTATATTTTTACATTTTCAATTTATTTTTTCCTCTTTAAAATATTTCAAAGATCTGTACATGGTCCAAATGTCTTATGCCTAAATTTAATATGTGGGAAGTTAGCATAAACCCCGATGATTATCTCTGATATAAGGCAACCTTTATGCAAAATACAAGATTGATAGATACAAATATAGGCAAACATGTTATACGTACATTCATCTAGAGGAATTGTATAAGGGAGAATAGCACACGGAGCTGCAAAGATACAGTGCAGTATGCATCTCTCCTCCCCAATAAAAGATGGACTCCCAATGAAACTGCTAAATGTATTTTGACAATAGGATGCTGGGCTTTCTGCTATTGCCTGTACCTACCATGCCATGATATGCTTCAATAGCAAAACGATGGACTTGTACTTTGTTGCCGAAGGACTATACTATTGTAATAACACAAGGGAAAACAGTGGGGAGGGGAGTCCATTGATTTAGATACAGAACGGTGGGCGATCTGTATTTCCCGTCATCTCTGAATACCTTGGACTGTGGCTAACTGCTGCTTTCTGATTGCCTTTGTTAGATGTAAGCTCCAAAAAAAAAAAAAAGAAAAGTAGTTATCTTGTTACTTTTGTTTCCTGTTATAACTTCATGCCCTCATTGGCACCTGGCACACTGTAGCCATGCCAAAACTATTTGTTGAAAAAATGTTTATAATAACAGCAATGTGCCACTGAACAACATAACCTGAATGGCTAATGAAGAACCTGCAGTGAATAAGAAATAAGTCAATAAATCTACATATTAATAAATAAGATATGTTTATTTCTTATGTATAACGTACTGACTACAATTAGCGCAAGAAATAATTTTCTTGTAAAAATTAGTCATTCTATGACATAGATTTTAAAATATTATTTTGCATATGATAAACACAATTTAAATCAAAATTTCAACATTTCAATTAAAATATAAAAGGAAGGCAAGATTAGTTCATAGTCTGTATTTTTTAAAAATATGCTTTCAAAACATTCTTGAAGTAAACTGCAAGTTATTCAGTCCTCTGTTGGTTCCACATTTCATATCCTACCTGCCTAAAGTCATACGCTTACGAAGGATTTAAGTATACAATGAAATTCATGTGTCTAAAACATGATTTTTCTACAATAGCAGACCCTCTTCTGAAGTTCCCTCTGTCGGCAACAGGCAGAGCCAGGCAGAAATTGTCACGTGTTTCTCTGTGTTCAACCCCGCATCAAGTATTTCTGACTTTACTTTCCAAATCATTCTTGTATCTTCTCGCTCTTCCCTCTTTTCCTGACTATTAAATTAACCCAAGCTCCCGCTGGCTATGATCTAACATTTGGCAATAACTTAATAACCGATTCATGGGCATTGTGTGCAGTTCTCTCACCAATGTCATCTCTAATTGGTCAAGTCAGTTCTTACGAGCTTTGATCAGATACTTTGCTAACAGGAAAGTATAAAGTGGCCATCCTCCATGCAGACCCCACTTCAGTGTCTAAATGCGAATTACTGGTCTTTCTTTGAATTATAAGTCTTCTTCTGCATCGCAGAATTTTTACAAAACACTAGTGTCTCTGCCTAAGTTGTTCTTGCACGCACTGTTGCTCATTCCTTAGTTAATATATACCCATCACCATTCCTTTATTCCCTGATTGGTCCAAATAACTGAGCCTTTTTTCCCCCATAAGATCTATTTATTTATTTTAATGGCAGAGTCACAGAGAGAGGGAGGGGAAAATAGAGAGGTCTTCCATCCACTCATTCACTTTCTAACTGGTTGCAGTGGTGAGAGCTAGGCCAGCAGGAAGCCAGGTGCCAGGCGCTTGCTCTGAGATGGCTGTGTGTGCAGAGGGTGAAGCAATGGAGCCATCTTCTACCGCTCTCCTATTAGCAAGGATCTGGTTTTAGATGATTGGTTCCTCATTTCAGATGACTGACTTGGTAACCCATGCTTGGAATATATTACCTTTTATGAGCAAGGGGTTACCTGGAGTTTGACACTTGTATGTGTGTGCGAATACGGGTATGGTTTGTTCTATTCCAAATTAGAGCCTAAATTTACGTGCCTTTCTCATGGATTGCTTCTGACCTTGTTTCCTGCAGAAAAGCCTGTGCAGCAGATGGTTGCCCAAGCCCTTGGACTGGCATCGTCTACTTGCAAAGCCAAATGGAATCCTCGACTGGCATGACCTAAACCTCACTGCTGTGTTCATCTGGAGTTCAGACATTAATTGGAAGATCACTCCTTCTTTCTCTGCTTTTCCTCTGTTTCTCAGCCTTTCAGACAAATGAATCCTTTTTAAAAAAAGTCATGAAAAGGGGAACTAAATATTATTTTTCACAACAAGGAGACGTAGCCCTATTGTATGTTCTGAAAATGTATTTATTGCCAGGGTAGAGCAATTGGGAGGACTCCAAAATCATTAAAGAAAACGATGTCAATACGTTGAACTTACTGTAATCTCCCATTGCTGTATTTGCCTCATGGAATAAGACTTTATTTGGTTTGTTTGCATGTTGTTAAGTCTTGGAGTTGCCTATTTTTTTAAGCTTCCCTTCTTTAATTTATTCAATTATGCTGAAAATAGATAATATTTTTGCTAACTAACCAAGTTTTGGGGGACTTGAGAGTCTATTTATACGCTTATTTAAATCTCTAGGAAGAATCAGTGTGGAAATCTTGCTTTGTTTGGGACGTGTTCGCTTTATGTAGCGCGTAAGTCTGCCTCTTGCCCCTAAAATGACTTGTTGTCATCTAACATTCGTCCTCATCTCCAGATATTTTATTTGCCAAACTTTTAGCTCTTCCCTGTAAAATAAAAATAAATCTCAGTACAATAGGGAAGTTAATAAATAAAATAAAAAAGGCATCTTTTGAAAAAAAAATTTCAGAAATTCAGTCCTTTTGATTAGCAACCAGACTTAGTACCAGCAAAACTTCAAAGAGTTCTCTAAACATTGAATTTTCATCAGTGATGCTCCCAGCCTCGGTTCTCATCTTTCATGCTTATCATTGCAATAACTTCAAACGGATGAAAAGAAAGAATGGTAAGCTCTCAAAGCAACCTTATGCTCAGGCCAGTAACCATGTATTTAGCTACCACGCATTCATGACTAGATAATTGCCTCATTAAATCATATTTTAACAAATACAATAATTAACATTTTGTTACCAAAAAGCAAACACTCAAACCATTCATAAATGAAACTCAGCACCCAAAGGATTTCTAGGAAAAAATGAAAAAGAATTAGATAGCGTCAAATATAGACATCTTCAAAGGGAAACAGATCATTTAAGCTTGCCTTTTACTTACTAGGATATGTTCTGCATATTTTATTGTTTTCGTCATCTTGCTTGTTATAATCCAGCCAGTGAATGTTCAAAGAACATAAAATCCTACAAAAGAATAAGCTGAATATGAGTGAATTGACAAAAAGCCAACAATTAAGATCAAGAGTCTGACATGTGAGCTTTGATGATGCAAAGCAATTATATTTCCCAGCGGTGTCCCAGCAACATATCAGTAGGGGGAAAAAAAATCAGAAAGTTTTAATTTTCAGGTTATTCATATGTTGAATTTTCAGAGTGTAAGTAACATATGTGTATTTGAATCACTACGGATGATGAGTGAAAATGTAGGGCTGAGGGACATTTTGCAGTGTGCAATCACAGGACACAGTTCATTGCAGAAAGTTATAACAGACACTGAACTGTAAGAATTAGACACGTCATCATAGATGCTCTGGCCAGCAGCGACGTAGTCATCTGAGTAAGTGAGATCAAACCACACCGGAGGAAACGTGCAGCCTGAGATTTGTGGGAAGATGGGCATGGTGAAAAGGCCGGCTGGAATCCAGAGACCAGAGATGAGGTTACGTTTGTCAACAGTGTCCGTTTCAGAGACTTTTCACAACAGGAGCCTTCTCAGGCTTATCATAAAGCGGTAAAACATGGACATCATTTAAAAATTCAACACCGGGGGGTTGGACAATGCACTCTGCACTACCATTTGTTAAGCCAACATCCCATTTCAGAGCTCAAGTTTGATTCTTCTGAATTTCTGATTCAGCATCCTGATTCTGATGATGACTTTGGAAGGCGGTAGATAACGGCCAAGGGGGTGGGTCCTGCCCACACGTGTGGAAGCCTCAAGCGAAGTTCCTGGCTCCTGGCCCAGCCCTGCCTGATCTTTGCAGCCATTTGGGAAGTGAACCAGTGGATGAAGATTCTCCATCTATTTGTTTTGCTCTGTTTTTTTTTTCTCTTTCTCTGATACACTGCCTTTAAATAAGAAAATAAATACTTTTTTTTTCTAAAAAAAAAAAAAGGAAAAGCAGTGATGTTTGGTCTGACATTTAAGATGCTGCTGGGGTCACCCACATCCTATCATCTGAGAGCCAGGATCCAGTTCCTGGCTCTATTTTTGATTCCAGATTGCTACCAGTGTGTACCCAAGGAACACAACAAGAGGACACAAGCAGTTGTGTCCCTGCTTTTCAAATGTGAAACTCACAGTATGTTCTCCACTCTGGCTTCTGCTAGACTGCTTTGTTCAGAGTTCTCTGCAGGTGCCAGAGTTTTCTGCTGGCGTTGAAGAGGAGGATACAGCCACTGCCTGTAATCTTACATCTGGACACTGGTGTGTCCCAGCTGCTCAACTTTCCAGCCAGCTTCCTGCCACCGGCCCTTGGGAAAGCAGCACCGGATGGCCCAAGGGCCCCGGCCTCTGCAAGTGTGTGCGACGCAGCTGCAGCTCCTGGCTTTAGCATTTGGGGAGTGAACCAACGCATGCAAGATGTCTGTAACTCTGTCTCCCTTTCTTCCTGGAACTCTAACTTTCAAACAAATATTTTGAAAAATACCAGAATTGAGGATGACTACCTAAAGAGTGCAAAAATTGTGCATACATTGATCCCATTTTCTACCTAGGTTAAGGAATCAGCTAAAATAATCCTTCTAAGGTCTTTAAGAAATTCCCTATGGTGTATCTATCGAGTTAACATCGATCTATATTTCTGTATTATTATTTTGATAGTGATGTCATGGTCAAGTTTATTGTCTTATTCAGTACCTAAGACATTTTTAATTTCAAAGCAGTACATGGTTTGTAACTGTAAGATTTAGCAAAATAGAATTCTTAAGTTTAATAAGATATGAGTGGAAATGTGTGCTTATTTAAAAACTTCATGAATTTATTGGGTGTATTGGAAATGGTAGGAGATTTTATATTGAGAGCAGAGAGAAAATCTGAAACTGATCAATATCCGTGCAATCAGCAGAGATATTGACCGACTTCATATGCCAAAGACGAGATTATTTTCAGTGCAAAGTTCCAAGTTTGAAAGTAAGAACAAGATACAAACTCTTTGTAATGGTGTTGATTTGTCCTTATCTGTGACCATATTAGAAGGACAATAAAACGGTATTTTCACAGTCTGATTATCACCTTGCTCCTTGTTGGTCAAAGAAATTGCATTTGTGCTTATTCAGGATAGATTCCATGATATGCATTTGTTTTTCAGTTGAAGTAAAAGCAACTCCAAAATATAGAATTACAGTGAGGTTGTGGAGTTAACCTGTAGATAGAAGATTTTTTTTTCTCTCTCTCTCTCACTCTGCCTTTCTTAAAATAAGAGAACTGGTTAAAAAAAAAAAATAAATCTTAGTTGAAAATGAAGGAAAACTCAGCTTTTGAAAAATGCCTAGTAGGATGTGCTGGAGCTCCATTCCCCTGGGAGTAAAAGGCTCGGGGCCCCTGGAGAAGGCTTGTGAACTGCGATTTCTGAAAAACACTGCTGCTACCACCAGTCTCTCAGGCGTCACTCGGACTTGAGGGGTAGACACGGTGGGAGCTGGCACTGACTTTACGGTGAGAAGGAAGGAAGCGAGCAGCCCAGACTCCCCGGGACCGTACTCACAAACAGAAAACACGCGCCAATCATCGCCGCTTTGACCTTCACGTCCAGATCTGCAGGCACATGGATCCCAAAGTTGTCCGCGTTTGTGAAGACGTCATTTACAAATCCTGACCAGTACTTGGAAATCTTCCCAATTGTCAGTTTCTCATGAATGGTTTTAATCTTTGAAAGGAAAAGATCGAGTGTTAAGTCACGCGGAAGCGAAGAGCTGGCTTCCTGCCCCGCAGCACTTTTAGTTCATGAGTACGGATTCTTTTAGTCATCACCTCTAGATGAATAATTCGCATGATTCAGTCCTTGAGATAGCAGCAGATTCAAACAGAGGCTTTCTAGTTGACATCTCCCTTTTCAGGAACTTGGGTTTTCTGTTTCCTGATCTATCGTAATTTTTGTTTCGTATGCAAATAGGATATACGATTGCAATAAATAATTAAAGGCAGACTACCACAAGATGGCAGCAGGTACATAGTTAAGTGCATGCTCTAACCGTGAAGGTCATTTCTTTATCTGAATGAGGTTGTGATTACAATTCTGCACTAAAAAATGAATTATCCACTAGATATATACATACAAATATGGAAAAAGATGTTTTTGATGTTGACTTTTTCAAAAATTCGATTCATTCATAGGTACAATTTATAAACTGTAAAATTGTGTTAATGAGATCTTACAAGTATTAACATATAAATATTATTAGCTCTTAGGAAATCAGTTTTGTATTATATTCAGACATTCATCATGTGTTTCTTAGGACATCTCTGTCCCTTGTATGAAGAAGCTTCTGGGCTGTAGTTCATCTCTGCCGTATTACTCGTAAGAAAGTCATGCCTCAGGACAGCTGACTTTGCAAAATGTGTGTTGTAGACCATGTGAACTTTGATCCCTAAAGCCCCAGAGACTGAATGTCCTGGGTGCAGTTTATATGAATGAATGAATGAATGAATGAATGAATGAAAAATAAATAACACTTTCAATTAGGTCACCTCCTCTGCCAAAGACATACGTCTTAGCCAATCTGTTCAGATAATTCATTGTTCCTAGAGAAAGAATGTTGTTTTACAACGAATTGCTCAAATCCTATCAACATAGATTTAAAATTTACGGTATTTATTGAAATGTCTTTCTGAAGACAAATCTGACCTGGGATATGTGGATACCAGGAATAAAGAAATAGAAGCATAATTTAGGTGATTCTAAACTGTATATATCTGCTTTTTATAGTTCATGTGCTATGACTCCATATAAATCAAACAAATCAAAATTGGATGCACTGCCATATTTTAATCTCAGAAATATTGATTAACGTGAAATGTGAAACCTAGACAGCCATATAATTTTTGGTGTCAAAGATTTGGCTGCATTTAAAATGATGAGACACTTACTATTTTAGGTAATACAATATACTGATATAGTTGTGCCAACAAAACACACAAGATTCTATTTAGTTAATATATCTTTAACAAAAGCTTCATTTGATAATCATTGCTACACTATATTAAAATATATTTGAATAACAATATTTGAATATTTGTGCTCATTGAAGACAAGATATCATGACTAATGTGGAACTTTTTGCAGCATTTAAAAATTATTAGACAATATTTCAGGAATCATAGACTATCAGTGACATTTACCATATAGATTTATTGTAATATTTCACAAATATATTGTTTTCTATTTTATTTTAATATTATTTCATGATTAGAACATTTAAAAAATTGAATTATGTTGCAAAAAATCAGGACCAAAATAAAATCTTTGTCCATCCTGTCAGTCATACCTCAAAATCCACATCGCCAAAACAGCCACATGTTGTGCAAGGACCAACAATGTCCAAAATATCTTCTCTGTTTGCATTTTGGATTGTGAATTTAGGCAGAAAAGGGTCCCACTTCTGTGCAACATAACCAACTACAGTACCAGGAGGGGCTTGGATTTCTAACTGTAAGAAGAGATAATAATACAGTATGACTTCTCTAAGGTAAATATATTTGACCTTTACTATGACGTCCATTTATCTCTAAAGAGTATACTATTATCCCTCTTAAATATCTACTACAAAATATACAAAGCTGAGCTGTTCTTCACATTTTCTGCAATTCACTGCATTATTGATTTGCGGTTGCTGGATTCCAAGTTCAACAGGTGCCAAGCACCAACGCCCTTCCTTATGTGGGAGTGCTCGTCTGTCCTCTCTCACTGGCAGCCACAACGTGAAGTTCCCTCAGGCTTCCTCTAAGGAAGTACAGTGCATCGGAGGCTTTCCTCTTTAGACTGGGAACTTCTATATTTTTCTGAGCTTAATTACAAATGCTTCTTGCTGAGTGATAGTTATTAAATGCCAAATTAATCATTTTGATTGCTGGCTCATGTCTTCCAAAGTGCTAAAGACTAGCAGGTGCATTCTTTCTTTTTTCTTTTCTTTCTTTTCATTGTCGTTTTTTAAAATTTTAGGCATTATTCTAGTGTTGGATCACATTTCTCTCACATACGCATGCAAGGCAAACCACATCTTTCTGTGAGCTAACGTCGGGATGGTTATAAATTTAAAACCTGTTTGCTTTTGGAGGAAGAGACCATCCAGCAGCTGAGCTGTCCCTCGAGAGCCCAGGACCATGCATTGGACTGCCTGCTTTTGAGTCCTGGCTCTGCTTCTAACTCCAGCTTCTCGTGAGCACACACTGTGGAGCAGCCATGATGGCTCACGCAGCTTGCACTCTGCCACTCCTGGTGAACTGCACTGTTTTGGGCTCCTTTTCCAATCTGACCAGACTCAGGGCACGACAAATATTTGGGAGAGAATCAGTGAATCGGAGTACCCATTTCCATCTTGATCTCTTTTTTCTCTGTTTTTCAAATAACTAAATAAAAATCTTGAAGTTGTTTGCTTATAATTCAAAACCACCTCTTCATCATTTGATCTAGTGTTAAGTTCATGTTCTTATTCATATGCAGATGAATAGTGCTTTTGGATCAACATGGTTTCAACTAAGTTAAATGTAATTAAATATAGATTATTACATAGATTACTGCAAAAACTCGTTTCATTTTACTAAACAAATAAACTTCTGCAAGATACAAATGAAATCTACTCTTTCCCGCTCTTGCAGATGCCGTGACACCAGGGCCAGTAAAGAAGGCAAAACTTCCGTGTTCACACAATTGCGTAGTGTCAATTATTAGTATTGCCAATTATATATATTATATATATATAATAATGCAATTATTATTACAGGTTCATTAAATAATGATGAAATTCTATTTCATAGTAACATAAAATAATTGAATTATTCCCTCTGACATACTGACATTTTCTTTGCCAAACTCGGAGTCGGAAAGGGTAAATGGAATGTGAAATTCTGTTCTAAACAGTAACTTTCGACAACAAGAACATCTTAGGGTCGTTAAGTACTTCTTGGAATTGGGTGCAATTAGAGAAGTCCAAAAGCATTTGACACGATGGTGGGACGTGTAGATGCTACAATCACACGGCTCATGTGCAAACTCAGGAGGATGTGTGTCTTAATTCCACGCACGATGCGTGCGTTTGACAATTCACATCAGAGAAGCCATGAAGCTTTCTAACTCCAAAAGAAAAACACATAGTGAATTACAAAATCCTCAAGCTGTTCTGATCACAAGGGAGAAACACGGTCATCAAAACAACTGAAAGATGAACGGTCCCATAGCTCCTTGAATTCCATTGAAAGAAGTGGTTTCTGGCTGTACCAGGAAAGCGAAAGGCGCTCAGAAGCAGGGACTGACCTCTTGCAGGTAGCAGGGGCACCAGCAGCTGTTACACCTCAAGGGTCTGTTCACTGTGATCACCTCTTGACCCGCGTTATCTGTGACCCTCAGGGTGCAGGAGCGCAGCGTGGAACAGAAAGTACGGTTGAAGCAGACGCTTTCCTCCACCGCGAAGTAAATTCTTTGTCCCAAGCCGTTTTTAATTTCATATTTGTTAGCGGTCTCAGTGCCTAGAATCACTATTGCAGCAAATAAAAAAAAATTTTTTTCATACAGTAACGCTTTGCTCGGTATCAAAAGCATTTAATGTAGTGAAAACTCAGTGATGATTTATTTAGCATTTGATATCTTCGCAAATATCCACTCCCGTGCTATAGATTTTGGGGACTTAATCATGGAAAGCAAAGGAAATTCTGATTGAGGTTTATAGTTTTGAGTACTGATATATGACTTACTTTAGAACTGGTAGGATCAACAATCTTCGACTAAAGGAGCCACGTTACAACGGATGATCTTTGGATTCTGCAGGCTAGTGTTGAGGCACAGGGGATCAGGCTGTGACCTGTGACCTCAGCATCTTAGATGGGTACCAATCCATGTCCTGGCTGCTCCAACTCTAATTTGGCTCCCTGCTAATGCACGTGGGAAAGCTGCCACAGATGGATTAAGTCTACGGGACCCTGAAGTCCATTAGGGAGGCCCAACCCTGGCCCTTAAAGTCATTTGGGAACTGAGCCAGTGGCAAGATCTTTTACTCTCTCTGTCCCTCTCTGCCTTTAAGAGAAATGAATGGTCATTGAAGAGTGACAATAACAATGATAATGCATTTATCATTTAAATTATTGATACGACTTACTGTGATAATGGAACATTTGTTTTTCTAAAATCTCCTTCTGATAAACTATGTAAGGTCGCAAGGTATTTGAAATCAGTTAACTTCAGTTTTGAGTACGACAGAACGTTAACAAGAAATACTCAACTGAGTTGAATTCAGTTAGTTTATACTCATTAATTTGTGTAGTCACAAACAATCTCGTTGTTTGGTGAGACAGTGGTGAAACAACAAAATAGCACCTTTTGAGGCATTTTTGGTCATCTCAATCTTTTTTTCTAAGATATATTTGTTTTTATTGGAAAGGCAGATTTACAGAGAGAAAAGAGAGAGAGAAAGATCCTCCATCTGCTGGTTCACTCCCCAAGTGGCAGCAACAATTGGAGCTGTGCCAATGCAAAGCCAGGAGCCAGGAACTTCTCCTGGGTCTCCCACATGGGTGCAGGGTCCCAAGGCTTTAGGCCATCCTCAACTGCTTTCCCAGGTCACAGCAAGGAGTTGGAAGGGAAGCTGGGAAGCTGGGCCATGAACCGGTGCCCATGTGGGATCCCGGCACACGGAAGGCAAGGATTTAGCCGCTGAGCCATCATCTCAATCTTGATTTTTAATTTCTTATGTTAGTAAGAAATTGAAAGAGATATGATCCAAATAAAATAACAAAAGCCATTTTCCTCTAAGACTAAAAATAATTTTAGACTTTTAATGACCATATCACAGAATGTTTGAGCAATTTATGCTGTAGCGTTATTTAAATCAGACAAAACATTTTACCTTCAGCTTTTATTTTAAAATAGCTGCTCTTCTTTGTCTATTCTCCACATTTGATTTTAATGAAATATTTACATATTACAAAACAATTAAAAAGGAAAATATGTTCATCCATTTTAGTAAACACACAGTAAAAGGCACTTACTTCCCAGAAGCTCCACCTGCTGGTGTATAATGATCAGGTCCAGCTGTCACAGGATGGCCGGAAGGAAATAACAGGCATTACAACAGAATCAACACAAAAATGCTTGAAGATTTGATCGTGAAGACTGAATATGCTATGTCGCAGTATGTGGCTTTCCCTTATTCTCCGTTAGGAAAACCACTGGAAATAGATCACACTTGATGTTGCAAAAGAAGGTGAAATGTTTGTTATTCAAGTAAAGATGTCTAAAGATAAAAGACCAAGGTAGGACTGCCAATAATAGTAGGGATAGTGGTTCACTCTGTTATCTTTCAGTAGTGATAAGAACTAACGGTAGGTCTCCTGAAGAGTAACCGAAGCCTTCTGAAACATGTCCAGATAAGGATAAGGATACTTTCGCCGCAGGGACGGACCCTGTTGGGTCATAGCAAGTCCAGTTACTCTTTGAGATATCGGCATTGTACACGGGCACGTTTCTAGGCTGGCTGCCCGGACTCCCCATCCAGCTCCCTGTTGATGGCCTGAGAAAGGAGATGGAAAATGGCTCACGCCTTCGGATGTGTGAGTGTATGAAGGCTGCCGGGCCCTAATTGCTGAGTCCTAATTTCCACCTTGCTCTGCACTGGTTATTGTGGCCCTCAAGGAAGTGAACCAATTGATGAGACAGATTTCTCTGCTACTCCCCATCTCTTTGTAACTCTTTCACAATAAATAAATCAATGCTTTACAAACGCACGGCCGGAGTTTGGATGGCTTATCTCCCAAGGGTTCATGTGTTGGCAGCTTGTCAGGTGTAATGTGTACTGATGTTAGGATGGCGTCAGGCCTTTAAGAGATGGGTCCGTCATCAAGGACGTTACGTATCCACTGGGAGTGGAATAAGGCAGTTTTCAGGAGCTCTTGAGTTTTTTTTCTTTGTCAATGAAATTTGTGATAAATTTTGACCCCCGCAGTCACTGTCCAGCTCCATGTTTCTTGATATGATCTTTTGTTTCCTTGTCAGCTTCCACAGTTGGACTACCGTGCCCCTGTGGAGCCCTCCCCAGATGTTTGTTAATGATGGCAACATACCTGTGATTCTCCCAAACAGTGGCCTAAATAAATCTTGTTTTTTTTTTTTTTTTAATAAAGTTAGCCTGCTCCAGGCATTTCGTTATAACAGCAGAAACAGACATGGTTTAAAATGCTTGAAATTTGTTGTTTAAGAAGTGAAAACAACATGATCATGACTTAATGGCCTGTCCTTGGATCCCTGGCACTGGTGTGGGAGACGAGCTGGAATTCCAGCTCACAGCTGAGATCCACCCCAACCCAACGGCCGTGAGGATTTGGGGAGCACATACTGGATGGGCAATTTCTCTCTCTCTCTCTCTTATTCTCCCTCTGCCTCTCTCTCTTTGTGTTCTCCAAATCCCAGCCTATTCTCTATTTGTCAAGTAAATATAAAAATCTTAAAAGTAAATAGGGAATTTCTGGCCGGGCCTCATGCATTTGATTTCTTTCTACACCTATTTTTGCTTCAATCCATTCCTTCTGGTGAAGAACTATTTTTGTCAAAGCTGACCATGTTATTCTATGGATTTCTCATCCTCCCTCTCTTTTGGACTACAAACAAAACAAAACAAGACAAAACCCTAAATCCCATTATTGCCAACAAAGTATCAGCTTAAGGAGAATAATGGTTATGCCACTAACATGTGACACAAAATCAACTTTTTGTAATTTAAAATGAGGTTAACCTAAATAAAACATCTGGAGATGGGGGGGGGCAAATAACTATATTGAAAAATATGCAATGCTAGTTCCTTTTCTAAAGAAAGTATCATGGATGCATCATGAAATTTTATCTGTGAATTTTAAATGAGAGAGAGACAGAGGAGACAGACAAGCTCTTCCGTTTATTGGCTCATTTCCCAACTGACTTGAGCAGCCAGGCCTAGGCCAGGTTGGGGCCAGGAGCCAAGAGCTCCATCTGCATCTTTCACATGCGTGGCAAGGGCATGAGCACGCAGGCTGTCTTCCACTGCCTTCCCAGGCACATAGAGGAAGCTGCATCAGCTAGCGGGTGGCTGGAGCACAAAGCGGCACTCATCACCGGAAGCAGGCAGCATACACAGTGGGGTAACTTGCTCCATGACAATGCCTGCTGTTGAATATCATTTCCTTTGTTTATATATTTTTATGGATAAAAGAATATAACTGACCTCTTTTCAAAGATTCACAATTTATTCCTGAAAAGCCTTTATTTATGATTTTGAGATGTTCTAAGCAAGAATGAAATCTTAGGATAGACTTATTGATTAGTGCCTCTGTGTAGGATGTTAGCCTTGGGCATCTATGACACTGAGCCTTGAAGACAGTTGACTGTTGTTGGAGATGAAGTTTTAGTCCTGAGGGTTAAAAACTATCCACTGTGGAGATACACTCCAAAGTGACAAGCAAAGTCTGTGCTTAATATCCAGGAACAGTTGTTTGTCTAATGGCTACCAGCCACAAGAGTCTCCGTGCTAGATGGTTTGAGATTTCTTGCTTTCATTTTTCACAAAAACCATTCATTTTACGCGTGAGCAAACCATCTCAGAGAGATCGTCATTTGCATAGAATTATGGAGTTTATTATTGATCAATGATTTTCTACCCTATTGTTTTCTGACATTACTGAAGTAACGATTGAGAAATGAACTCTTCAACACTGTGGAGTTTAGCAGGGATTTCTTTTCCCACTTTTACACTTAACTCTGTAGTAACTTTTGATTTCTGTGAGCAAAATTCTTGCATTTCAGGGACTTGCTTTTGGTTTACTTATACTTTGTGCCCGTCATCCTAAATCATTGACAAAGCATGCTCCAACTGGCCATCTACTCAGTTTTATTTGGAAATATTTAACAGCCTGAATTTTATATTCATGTGTCAGGGTAATTAAAGCACTTCTTAAATATGAATGTGAAGAGGTGAAAACACAATGGAAGCTCAAGGTACACAGCTTAAGATTCACATTCTTAAACCAGCTTTACCAAGCTCAGTGATTCATAGAATCATATGTATCAAAACTAATTATACATTTACATATGTCTGATGGACTTTAATTCACTACTTTTAGATTTAGGTGACAAAGTCATTATCCATTGAGAGCATGATGTAAAATGTTATTAATTATTAAGAACAGGTATTTATTAATTTTGATTTCTATTTAACTTCTATTGAGTTATATATACAGTGATACTTCAGATATTTTATAAGAGATGGGATTAAAAGATAAACTTTTTGGTATAGAATTTTTAAAAAGTCATGCATAATTTCTTCATAATATGCATTTCTCCAAAATTGTTTTTAAGTGGTGTGGGTAGATCGCATTTTTTTTTTTTTTTTGCGTGAAAACAATGTATCTTTTCATTCCATTTTCCGCGAACTTTTGAAGTGACTTCACATGTTTGTTTTCAAACTGTTCATGGAAATGAGTTTCCAAATGTAGGCACGCCAAGCATCTGGCTGTGGTTGTGTCATCATTCATGGATGGAAGAAGAATATGTGATGACCATATGTGATCATCCATCCCCAGGCCTCTGGCACCGGTGTATCACATCCGTACTTGGCAAAGCCTTGTCTGCCAACATTCCCAAACAGCTTGCAGCAGTTAATCAACTCTAGTCAGCTATTACAGCTGATCCTTTCTGCAGATGGAAAATGGTAGGTTAGCTTCCCCAGCTCTTTTACATACCTCCCTAAGCTCTCCAGTTTCTAAAGTGCATTTGTCTGCCAGTGGGTTTCTGGAGGAGGCATCTGCAAGTATAAACATTTTCCCAGGAACATATGCTACATGCAGCTTCCACTCTATCAGGCATAACAGAAATCTCTTGTACCTTCAGGGAATTAACACAGAGATTTGATTTTGATAAAGGAGCTAGACTGTATAGTTTGAAAGAATGCCAAACAAGCTGAAAATTGCAGCGGATGTGCTGACGTCTCAATATTAGTGTATTTTGAATCGCTTTATAGGATAAAATATAAAGGTAACAATAAAAGTAAATAGCGATTTCTATCCAGTGCCATTTAACTCAGATATTTGTTGATTGATTTGTTACAAGACTTCCCTCCCTGACCACCCTACAAGGGGTTGAACAGTCACTATGTCCATGGGGATGTGAGGGTGCTAGCAGAGCGACTGAGAGGTGCCATAGAATCGGAAGGCGGTGGTGCTAACTTTACAACTAGCTTTCCCTTGCACTGACACCCCCTTTCAGATTCCGTCCAAGGTTATGAAGTTTTCGCTAATCTTGAAGGTCTCTTTAAGCCATCACAACTTGCCTCTCTTCTACACACTTGCATATGTTATTAATAATTTGCATTTCCTGTCAACAATTTTGAACATTTAGGTTGTAGTGTTTGGGTGAGAGGGACTAGGTTTTATGCTTTTTATGTGCCTTGAGTATTGCACATACCCAGTAAACATTCTTCAATTGAAAAAAATCAGTAGGTCACTAGACAACATTGGAGACTTCCGTAAGGATAAAATTGCTGACACTTTGCGCAATGAATGGAGGGTAGATAATATATGTTAAACAGCTTTGTCAAAAAGAGCTAGTGTTGTCAGTCTTTCAAAAAGTAATGAAAATGGATGCTGCACGGTGACCTAGTGGTTAAATCCTCGCCTTGCATCTGATGGGATCCCATATGGGCACCAGTTCTTTGGATTCAGGCTGCTCCACCTCCCATCCAGCTCCCTGCTTGTGGCCTGGAAAAACAGTCAAGCATGGTCCACAGCCTTGGGACCCTGCACCTGTGTTGAAGACCTGGAGGAGGTTTCTGACTCCTGCCTTTGGATTGGCTGTTGTGGTCACTTGGGGAGTGAGCCAGAAGATGGAAGATCTTTCTGTTTCTCTTTCTGTGGATTTGCCTTTCCCAATAAAAAATAAATAAATCTTTAAAAAAGTGAGGAAAATAGAAGTAGTAATGAAGGAAAACTTATTCTTAATAAAATAAATAACACCAATATTTTATAGCTTCATAATCAATGACTTAGTGGCTGCAGTCCCTCAAATTCAGTTGAAGAGCAAGAGCTGATGTTTGCAGTAATTTTAGGTAGGAAACATTGTATTATGGAATTAGAAAGATAAAAACACCTGGCTTAAATAACCTAGGCCAGGAGGCAAACTGACGGTTGGCAGGAAACCACTTGGTGGCGGATCCCCCGGCTGCATCCCCGGCTGCCATCCTAAGGACGCTGGGTTGGATAATGGGGCGTGATGGCTCTGGTCTGGGTCTGGAGCTCCTGGGAGGAAGCCACGCAGGGCTGCGTTTCTCTGGTGGTGCGCATCTGCAAGAGAAAGACAGCTCGAATCCTCAGGTCCATGTAGACTGCTCCTTCAATTTAGTCTTTCTTCAAAGATTGCTAACTTTTCTTGAGGCAAATGGCAGGTTACCTCCAGCTTTGTCTCATTTTAGTGCCTTTCCTTCATTCCCTACTCTGCACTACATCACTGTTTGGTCCCTAAATAAGACAAAAAAAAAAAAAAAGTGGGACATGACTGGTAGAAATGGCACCAAAAATTGAATTATCTGTCCAAAACAAATCATTTTAGGATTTACTTATTTGTCTAAAGGCAAAGTTACGGAGTGGGAGAAGAAGAAAATCATTCATTTGCTGGTTCATTCTCCATGTGGCTGCAATGACCAAGACAGTGTCCCATTGGAGCAAAGGGTTTAACCAAAGTTACCCACGCAAATTCAGGGGCCAAATATGGGTCCATCTTCCACTTCCTTCCCGGGTGCATTAACCGGGAGGTGCTAGATCAGAAGTGGAACAGACCATACTCCAACTGGCGTTCAAATAATGGAAAGCGGAATTGCAGTTGTAGTCTTAACCTGCCGTGCCACAATGCTAGCTCAAGGTGGCTAATGTTTTGACAGCAGTTCAATATTTAAAAAAGGTATAAAATAGTCACATAATTCTGTAATGGTTTTGTTTTTACAAAAATCAATCTGTTTACTATTGGTAGATAGCTTTTTCACAATTTCACTGATCTCACAGATGAAAACTTATAAGATGTTCCAGTGCAACAAGTTATTGAGTATCTGGCAAGTGGCCAACATTCCTGACCTTGGTCTTCAGAGGGTTGGATGTCACAGCCGGTCTAGAGGGATGACAGTCCTTGAGTCCCAGAAGGGATCATATAAAAATGATTTTTTTGGGGGGGGGTGGATAGACAACAGGTGAGTCTCCATCCGAGATTACACAAGAAGTTATAATTCTCTGATGAGTTGATCCCATTTTCTGGGATATCCATTCTCTTTGGCGTAATCTTTGGTATAGTTCTTGTTTGGTTTAGGCTGTGGAAAAACACTTGTTTTTCTAAAACTTCCAGGTCAACCTGTTCTTAATTTGTGTTTACTTATATTAATCCAGGAGGCTCAAAAATACTAAAACATTTCCTTGGTTCTAATGACTTCAGGAACCAGGCTATTTTTTAGTGTCTTAGTGCCGATGGATTTGCTTAAGGAATCTGTAAAATTTCTTATCAGTCTAAGTTCCCTGGAACATGCTAATTGGTAATACAGTTATAAGGGCTGGAGGCTATAACAGGCATCTTTAAAAGATATGCCAGGAAAAATTGTGCACAAAAATGTTTTATGAACATAATGAATATTCTCTGGGTTACCTGCTTGAACAAGATTTCTGATTCAAATGCAAGTGATGTTGTGTGTGCTTTAATCAGTAAACATGATACGGAGCCACGTGCTTGTTCCATTCTGTGTGTTAACTAGTTTTGAATAGGTTGCCGAAGGAGTATTAGTTTTGTACCTGAAGTTTTGTTGTTTAGTCTGAAGTCCTTATCATGGCTAAACAGAATTGCTCTTTTGAAAGAATAATCATATTTTGATCTTAATATTGCTCTCTAGTCACAAGTTTCTTCAAAGGCTCCGACCACCGGATGAAGAAAGGACTTCTTTGAATTTCCATCTGGCTTTGAATTTCTATCTACTCTTTTAAAAATGTATAACTAGCCTTTAAATATTTCATACGCTCTGGAACTCTTTACCTTAAAGGCCACAGTGTTGCTGTAACTCTTATAAAGTGCTGAAGTGTTTCAGACTAAATGCAGTGTCAGTCTTAAATGATAGAAAAATACTTGTCAAGATTTTTTTTATTGTTTTTAAATTTGTCCTCAAATATATATATATATATACAAAAGCCCACATATGCATGAAATTCTTGATTTTGCTAATTCATGCAAGTATTTTATATGTAGTTGAAGTTGCACCAGTGATTCTTCGGGAATTTTCTCCATGAAATGCTGATGAAAAATGAAAAGATGACCTCATTTTTCTTAAAATATTAGTATCTGAAAGTGTGTTTTCATTTATGATGCCAAAAAGCATGGACTAACCTGACCATTACTTTTAGCTAAAGACAGTATAAATGTTTGATTCTACTAACATCTTTGTAACAGATTAAAAGGCTTTCACCAAACACTCTGTAATTCTTCTACTAAAACTTTCCTTATAACCCAGTGTTAAATAGCTTACTATGATAATGAAAGCATGCCATAATTTGATTTTGATGCAAGTTTCACGTTTCAGTGACCTTGCAACTCTTGTAAATATTACAATCAATCCCATGCATCTCTTATTAAATTTGAGGACTTTTAAAAGTACGACAAAAACGATGGCATTTTTAGGAACTTGAGCTAAAATTATCAGCCTCCTCTCCCCAGAAATCCTGAAGGTGTTTGATTAAACTAGATATATTTTTTTCAATTCCTGTTTATTTTTGGCTCCCTAAATTAGATGTTTTATGCTTACTAACTTATTATTGAAGAAATGTTAAAAGATTCTTTGTCAAATCAGAAATGCTTATTTTTAGTTCATCAAATTTTAAAATTAGCACTAATGTGTGTTGTAATTTTAAAATAATAAATGGCTTTATCGCATAGCTTGAATAAATGGTAAATTAAACATTGTTGAGTTATAACTTCACCTATGGAAAGTTTCCTTTGATTCCTTAAAACTTGAACGAGCACCCTGTCCTTGAATCTGGCATTAAACATCCCCGTTCTGACTTTGCTTTGTGCCTTATTAATTCACTATGCTTATATTCATGATAACTGAAACACTGCTTGCATCTGAATTTTTACATTCTATCAGCTAGAGTGTTTTTTTTTTTTTAATTTAATGTAATATGCTCTTGGAAATTAAAATATAAAATTCTGGTGTTAAAAAGTGATGAATGATAGCTTTTAAAATATCAATCTCACTGATTCTAACACCTCCCCAAATGTACACCTTTATAAAGAAGAAATGACTAGCTGGCTGTATTTATTCTTACCTTTAGAGGCCATGAGGATGTGTGAGCCACTTCTTCAAAGGCAGCCAGCTAAAAAGAAAAGGCTTCTCTGGGAGCCAGGAGAGAAAGCAGCACGCATAAAGCTTCCGAAGTTGCCTGCCTGCCTCGCGTTGGCTTCAGTTTACGAACAGCGGAGGAAGGCAGCGCCTGGCTGTACCTACACGTCTGGGGTTTTTAGTTTGGACGACCGGGTGAGATGAAGCTATCGATTACCAAAGATAAACACTACTAGGAAATGGTCCCTCGCTTGGCGACTGAAGCAACGGTGTAAAAACAAGGAAAGCTAGGAAGGAAACGACACAATGTTCATGTTAAAAGTATATTCGTTGCATTGCCTGTAATTTCTTGGACTGTGCACGTTCTCTGCCATTCTTACTTCAGAAACATTCCATTGGTATTTGTGTGTGTGTGTGTGTATGTGAGAGAGAGAGAGAGAGAAGTTTATTTTCGTAGCAAAGGCAGCATTTTGAAAATGTATTCAGTGGGTAAATGTTTATTAGTCATTAACTTGTTGCTTTAATGACTGACTTTTGGAATCTGCGCTATGACATAGTGGTGACAAAGCTTCCACTTGAGATGCCGACATGCCATCTCAGCGCCCGTTTTCTCTTGTGCCAGCTCCCTACATGTGTTTGGGAACTGAACCCATGTGGGATACCTGGAAGAATCTCCTGACTTCTGACTTCAGCAAAAACCTTAAAAGAAACAGCAAAAACCCCGTCACTATAAATTAAGTATTTTATATTTGGACTTTACACTGCAGAGTATTTTCTGAGAACCGAACCACCTCAGCTGCTGCTTCTATGTTTTCTTCTCTCTCTTTTTTCTTTTATTTTATTGGGGGAGGGGTTTAATCTATTTTTATTGAAAAGGCAGGTTTTTACAAGAGAAGGAGAGATTGAGAGAAAGATCTTCTATCTTTTGACTCACTCCCTGAATGGCCACAAGAGCTGGAGCTGAGCCAATCCAAAGCCAGGAGCTAGTAGTTTCTTCTGGGTCTCCCCAACAGGAGCATGGTCCCAAGGACTTGGGCCATCCTCATTGCCTTTTGAGGCCACAAGCAGGAACTGGATGGGAAATAGAGCTTCTGGGACAAGAGTAAGGGTCCCTATGGAATGCCGCTGGTTAGAGTTGGAGGATTAGCTAGCTGAGTCGTCATGTCTGCCTCCAGCTGCTATTTTTCTAATTGCTCCAAGTGTCTTCTTCCAGAGTCTTCATTAATCATCCTGTCATGTATAGGAGTTCACAGTTCTAAAAACTACTTGAATGTTGAACATATTTGAATAAGATTTTTGTTCTCAATGTATTTCTTTCCACTTTCTATTTACCTCTTGTTTACCTACATAAGTACTACCTACTTTTTTTTTTTTACCTACTTTTGTCGTAAAATTGAAATTGAGTAATTGAAGGCATTTGGAAATACAAAACTTTGGTAACCTTGCAAAGCTAATCAAAATATATAGGTGATATTTCATTACATTGCCTACTAAAAATAGCACCGTAACCTTGACTAGACAGCTAATATTTCTTTCTAATTACATTTGCCTAGGTAACCAGAGAGATTTGTCTAACTAAGTCAGTTGCCTTTGTTGACATGTTTTGCAGAGATTGAATGTGAAGGTCTTATTACATTATTACATTTCTAAGAATAGGTAAATGACCTCACAAAGCATATGGAGTGGGTAGAAAATTGTAAATTAGCTTGCTAAGTTGTAGAAAGTTTGGTTACTATATGGCAAAAATCATTTTAAAAACTTGGTGGAGTTTGAAAAACTTATTGTTTAATTTTTCAGAAAAATGTATAAACATGATTAGCACTTTAAATTCAATTATACATTTACTAAATATCTTAAAGGTTGTCACAAGCATTGAAAAAACTAAAACCAGAGAAATGATATTATTGACACTGCAAAGTAAGATAGTTTTAATTGTGGTCATAATTGATGCATGATTTTGTTCTACAGAGTACTGATTTTGAAATACAAATACAATTCTAATGGACTAAACACAGTCCATAGTTGGCCATACATTAGACCTAGTATCTCTGTGTTTTAATGTCATATTGTAGTATTTAATCTGCAATGGAGATGCGCAGGCCATCTAACCTGGCAAGGATATTGCTGAAGTGCAGTCTCTCCCCACTAACTTGTTTGTGATATTCACCCTCTGTCCTGACAAAGACAGCACCAACATGAATATCTCTTTTAAAAAGTTTACTTACCTGAGATCTTGCTTTCCTCCATCCTTTTCTGTTTCCTAGTCCTTCCCAGGAGAGGCTCACACACCCTCCATGGAATGCTCAGGGTGCTTCAAGCATCCTGACATACTTTCCCAAGCCGGTCTCACCTTCTCCGTTGCACTTAGCTCCAGCAACATGGTACTCAGTACTCCTTTTCCAACACCTGTTGCCTCCTGTGCAGAATGAGTACCACCTATTGGGTTGAGCCACCAGCCTTACAGATCTGTGCTAGGAACCTCTTGACTTTTTCAAGCAGTATCAATTTCACTTCATGCTTGATTCTATGAAATAATCCAATACAAGGTAGGCTTGTTTGATAGACAAAGACAAGCACTGAACACCATATAATAGGAATGCACTACAAGAAAGGGAATAAATATCACAAACTGTGGATTCCGTGGGCTTTGCTGCTTGCCAGGAAGCTCTATGGACTGTCTGTAGCAGAGCTGCTGGTCTGCGGCTTTGTTACTGAGGCTTGCTCATCTATGTAGGATGTAACTTCTTGCCTTCCTGAAAGAAGACCTTCTGCTTTCAATTCCAGCCAAGAGGATGTGGGGAACATAGCATCATGACCTCTGTACAGCTTTATCCATGGCCTTTTACTGGAAGCACTACAACTGTTATTAAAGGTGCTGTCCATTCTGTGTTAAATTATTGTTCAGGATTCTATTATTTAATGGATCCATGGTTGACTTCAACTTTTGTGATTCTAAGTCTCATCAAAATATTCTCCCTCAGTATAAGGGGAGACACTATCAATCCATCTATATCTTTACTTATTACTAAAAAAATTATATCATCCAGATGAATTTTGGGGAAAAGAATGGCTTTATTATAAAAGTGTATAACCCTAAAAATTACACTATACACACACTTATTTGTAGACAATTATACAAATGCCTGCATATGAGTTTATGTAAATGTATCTGGAGTAAATAAATCAGTTATTTTCCTTTGTAGTGGTATTAGTCATCAGTCTAGGATAAATTTTGTTCATTTACATTTATGGTTTTTTTTTTCCTCAAAAATCCATGATGATGCACAAAATTGCACTTGTTTCAACCTTTGCATGATATTTCATCTTATAAATATAAAAAAAGCACACACAACTTGGGAAAACTGTTATTTTAACGGACATGCATCTTGTTTCTGTAATGTAAGGCAACCGTGCTAGCAAACACGCAGCACTGCTTTTAAGGTTGTTTCCGAAAATGAGTTTTTTGAGTAGCAGGACATTGAGACTTTCACCGTTACTGGATCTCACCAAGTTCATCTCCAGAGTGCTCGTGCCACATCACAGTTCCCAAGGGAGCGGGTGGCAACTTCCACTTTTTCGATTTCAACTTGGGTGATATAGTAAGGAATTACATAGGAGACTCCCAAATATTAATTTAGTGGTGCAAAACAGGTCTTAATCAAATTACAGTTTCATTAAGGTTGAGTGTTGTGTTCCTGTCAAGTAGGAATAATTAAGAGCAAAGTTTTGTGAATTTCTCATAGAAGTGATGATTACAGTTGAAAAACTGTCTGGAAATGAACTATGCTTTAGTGGTAAAATGGGACTTTTATTTAGTGATGGTCATGGTGTAATCTATTAAAACATATACTCATTAAGATTCAACTAGGTAGCACTTAACACATGTATTTCTATGCACAGTCTTAGTCCTGGATTTATAGTTTTCCAAATTAAAAATCATCATGAAATAAAATAGTACATGTGTCAATAACAGAGATAGCATAAATATGGGTAGAAATATCATTATTATGGATGTTGTTCCAGAATCATGACTAATAACCACCATATTAAATATGAACATTTACAGATTGCACTTTAATTGGGATGCGGCTACGCTAGAAATGTAAATCTCCTATTGCATTGGCCACTTACTAACACTTTGCAAACTTCTGTCACAGTGTACTTCCTCACCATCTCGTGTAAAGTCTCCCATTGTATGCAGATTTTTCATTCACTGCTTTATTCCATAGACACATATTAATTATATGTGCATTGCGTTGGGAATACACTGAGACAGAAATGTGCCCTCCACACTGGAAGGGGCGCACCCTTGGGAAGTATTACACCACACCGACATAGACAGCGTGCTTCGTATTATAACAAAGCTTCGAATGATCTCCTAATTGCCTCTTGGAAATGAAGCGATACAAGTTTTCCTTTCTTTGGAAAGAACAACTAATTAGAATGAATAATGTAAAAGGGGACTTCAAAACGTACATGGAAAATCAAATTAAAATGAACAATTTATGAAAGATTTGCATCAGCTTTGTATGATGTGAAGTTTTCATAAATCATTTGAAGATCCTTTTTAGACGTGGTTTTCAAATTGTTTTGGATCAAAATAAGTATCGTTTTAATTTTTAAAAAAAGCATCTTTTAATTCTCTTTTCTGTAAGATTTTTAAACACCCTCGTATCACTCGAATAAGGAATTAACTATTTCACACATGTTAAATATCGCTTTCCTCCAGTTGTTTCAACAGCAAAGTAGTTAACTTTAACATATTTTTTTCTTTTTTTTTTTTTAAGATTTATTTATTTTTATTGGAAGGGCAGATAGACAGAGAAGAGGAGAGACAGAGAGAAAGATCTTCCGTCCGATCATTCAATCCCCAAGTGACTGCAATGGCCAGGGCTGCACTGATCCAAAGCCAGGAACAGGAGTTTCTACAGGGTCTGCCAAGTGGGTGCAGGTCCCAAGGCTCTGGGCCATCCTCAGCTGTTTAACAGGCCAGAGGCAG